ATGTTTGTTGCAATTAGATTAACGTATCTAAAATACTAAAATGCTATGGAAAGCGATGAATACAGGTCCACGACGTAAGTGGTGAAGGAAGTAGTAAAGGCTGGCAGTGCAGAGTGGGGGAACCGTTTGAGCAGATGGATAAATGAATTTGTAATACTTAAATGCTATGAGAAAGGAAGGAAACAGGCCAATGACGTAGTAAATGGTGAAGGAAGTAGTAAGGCTAACAGCGCAGAGTGTGGGAACTGTCTTTGGCAATTAAAGTAATGTATCTGCAATCCTAAAATGCTATGGGAAGAGAGGGAAACAGGTCCACGACGTAGGGTGTGGTGAAGGAAGTAGTAAAGGTGAGCAGTGTTGAGTTTGGGAATGGATTAATGTATCTGCAATGCTAAAATGCTACGGGAAGAGACTGTAGACTGTAATATGTTAAAATGATTACGAAGCACAAATCGATACATATTTTCGATACATGCAATCGTTTACAATCGAAATTTACAACTGAGTTGACAACAGCTGATTTTTACTCCATAGAGGCTAAAAACGATTTTTACTCCCTAAATATTAAAAATGCTACTTTAGACCCGCAGTGCATGCATGAAAAAATACTGTTTTTACTGCAGTAAGACAAAAACAATATAATATGAACCCTTGATGACTCCGCTCAATTTTGTGGATGCCTCTGCGAACGCCACCTAGTAATCTTAATTGGTTTGGATTTGCTTTCAAAACGTGATTGGAAATGGTTGCGGTATTTGTAAACAACATTCAATGTAAACATATCAGTGACAGCTAGAAGAAATAATCTTGATTTGAACAGCTGTTCGTTATTTCATAGAAGAATATGTGCTAAACATTGGGAGAAAACTTTACAAAAATCGCACAAAATTGGGTTTTTAAACGTCCGTAATTTTATTTACAAAGTGGTGACGCCATATTTTAATGGCTAAAGACAATCTCGCCAATCCAGTGAATGCATTAAAATGATTTGGAACTTGATAGGTACTCTCGTTTTTCAGGAGTAGGCCGCGTAAAATGGCTCTTGGGTCGTAACAGACTGGAAGACAGACAGAAATTTAGATGAGACTTGTTTCGGTTTCTCTAATGTATAACACGTAAAAATAACCTAAAAGTTTATGATTCTGAGCAATGTACAGACAAAACTCTAATTTTATTTATATAGATGTTTCGTTGTCATACTGTGATAAACGTGTTTGAAAAACATTATGTTGTTAAATCAAATGAGTGTATAACATTTTATGCGAATATCTCATTGATTATTCTCACTGAAGTAAAACAATAACAAAATATTTTCTCAGGTATTAAATACTAAATGTGGAATCCAACATTTATTCTTTGATTCTAAGAATTTTTAACTATAGACTACCGGTAAGTATTAATATGCATAAACATGCGCTTGTAAATTTAGTTACCATTCTTCGTAATGTAATGAGATATTGATTTAATATAATGATAATTTAATGCTAGAAACTCAGTATCTATATCCCGTAAACTGATGCCCATAGCCGGCCGAGCTCCTAGCGCCAATGCCGCGCCAAGCGATTTTATGCCTTCGCTTAAAAGTGATACAAGCAGACCGTATTAAAAAAAGCTTCAAATAAAAAATTAAATTCATACTTTGATCCAAAACTTTGCCGCAGGATTTTTTTCCTGACCAAAAAATAAAAAAAAGTTCCTCGCTTACTACATTTTTCATGTTTTTAATGGTGTTAAAAACAATCATCAGTTTTAAACAATCAGCATTGGTGCTAGGAGCTCGGCCGGCTAGGCATCAGTTTACGGGATTTAGATACTGAGGTTCTGGCATTTAATTATCATTATACACATTAAATATGTCATTACATTACGAAGGAGGGGTAAGTATTAATAAATAATTATAATATAATAAATAAATTAATGAATAAATTAATTATAAAAAATATGTAAAAACTAACTACATAGTAATAAGCACTGGTTTTCAGAAAAATAAAATATACATTTGAAATTTGTATGTTAACAAATAAGAAGTGGTGGTTCCACCATGGGATTCTACTAAATCCCATCTATTAACAGGAGACAACAAAAAACAAAAACCAAAATAAAATTTGCCACCAAACTAAAGTAGAGTTATTATACACATCGATGTATAATACTCTACTGGATAGCGCGCTGTGTGGTGAAAAACGCTCCGTGCCTACCAATCGAATTGGTGGGATACCGAGGTGGACGGGCCGTATGAACCTCTGTCTTTTACACAAACATACCATACTTTCATTCGACCTGCCCTCCTTCACTTATTTACCAAACGTAAAAATTTCAAATTTTATTTTTATTTTCTGGAAAAGACAGTGCTTCTTACTGTATAGTTTGTTTTAACCTAAACATATTTTTATCATTTATTTAGGCAAATTAAAACTGATGATCGTTTTTTAACACACCTAAACACATGAAAAATGTAGTAAGCGATGAACTATTTTATTTTTTGGCTAGGAAAAAAATTCCTGCAGCAAACTTTAAGATTAAAGTATGAATTATATTTTTTATTTGAAGCTTTTTTGATACGGAGTTTGGTTGTATCATTTTTAAGCGATTAAAAATAGGCATAAAATCGCTTGGCGTGGCATTGGCGCTAGGAGCTCGGCCGGCTAGGCATCAGTTAACGGGACTTACTAGCATCGATCTCTATTATTACTACAATAGAGATCGATGCTTACTAGTAGATACTGTTAGTAGATACTGAGTTTCTGACATTTAATTATCATTATACACATTAAATTATATTTAATATTATTTCGTTATTACATTACGAAGGATGGGTAACTAAATTTACAAGCGTGTGTTTATGCGTTTTATTGCTTACCGCGTAGTCTATATATACATATATATATTTTATCGTTGAATCAAAGAATGCATTTTGGATTCGCAGTAGTATTTAATATTAATCTGAGAAAATATTTTGTAATTTATTTACATGTATTTTGCTTTACTGAGAATAATCAATGAATTGGAGATATTGGCATAAAATATTATACACTCCTATTATTTAACAACATATAATATATTTTACAAACACGTATGACAAAGAAACATACTGTTTAATATAACCAAAATGTATATTCTTACATGTTGCTAAGTCTCTCAATAATCATTGGGGCTCACAGCAGCAAATGATGACATGCTTATGTGATCAAATAATTATTGTGATATTTTGTTCTGGCCAATGTTCAAATAGGTTATAAATAAATCTAACTCTTTCATAACATCACAAAATTTACTTTTGATGCATAGTCTGTAAAGTGTGAGCAAGTAATTAGATTAATTATATCTGCTTACAAACCTCCTTAAGTTCGTTATAATAAATTTTACTTGTAATATTTCCACAAAACTAACATAGCAATACGCGGCGAGAGCGGGCGCGACGCTCGTCACTAGGGTGACTCATGCCTTTATCCCCACTCCTCGCGGACATAGGGAGGCAGCGGCGTGGCGGACGCTGAATTTTTATTTCAGGATTAGTGTTGCCTACAGTATTATTTTGAGGCTTCTGATTGGCTGAGGCCTGAGGGAACATAATTAACGTGACGATACGGTTGATGACAACGGCCTCGGTGGTGTAGTGGATAGAATGCTAGGCTGATGATCATGTGATGATCCGAAGGACCCGGGTTCGAATCCCACCCGCAGCACTATTTTTTTATTGGATTTTTTCATTATCAACAAGTTTGCTTGGGTTGGTTAGGTTATGACGGTTTAATTTTATAATTAAAACATTATGAAATTGAATTTGACCCATTTATAGATTTATTTTATGAACAGAAATATTTTTTCGGTTAAACCTTCATTTGAATTTTCATTGTTAGCAAGTCTGGTTAGTTTGGTTAGGTTATGTTAGTTTAATTTTATAATAAAAAAAATTATAAAATAGGATTTGAGGCATTTATAATTTTATTTTATGAACAGAACTATTTTTTCGATTAATAAACCTTCATTAGATTTTTTCATTGTCAGCACGTTTGGTTGGTTTGGTTAGGTTATGACGGTTTGTTACAAACCGCCATTTTATAATAAAAAAATATAAAATTGAATTTGAGGCATTTTTTATTCTATGAACAAAAATAATTTTTCAATTACTAAACCTTCGTTATAGTCAATCAGAAGCCTCTAAATGACACTGTTGGCAAAATTAATCCTGAAAAACAAATTGTGCGTGGCGGACCGTTTTTCGAGCCCTACTCAACCTCAGCGCGCATCCAGGGAGTTATTATACATAGATGATTATACATCGATGGGTCGGATCGGATCTCGGACCGGAGTGGAGTGGCAACCGTCACTCCACCCGCCACCGCCAGTGATCAGATCAGATCAGATCGAGATCACTGATCAGCACCAGAGCCCTGGATCAGCACTCGCCTCAGAAGCGGTGGGGCACACGGAAGATTTCTCAGGTGCCGTTTGACGTCACTAACTGCTGCGTCTGAAGAAACAATGTTATAATTTTCTATTATTAAATTAAACTGTCATAACCTAACCAAACTGACCAAACCTGCTGATAATGGAAAAATCGAATAAAGGTTTGTTTACTATCTAAAAAAATAGTTTTGTTCATAAAATAAAATTATAATTGCCTTAAATTCAATTTTATAATTTTTTAATTATAAAATTAAACTGTCATGACCTAACCAAACCAACCAAACTTGCTGATATGAAATTTTTGATAAAAGGTTAGTGCTGTCGGTGGGATTCGAACCCGAAACATTTGGATTATCAGCCCACAACGCTATCCTCTACACCACTGAGGCAGATGGCTCAAATCTGTATCGTTGCGGTATTGGTGTTCGTTCCCTCAAAGTGACGTCAGCAGTTAGTGACGTCTGACGTCAAACGGCACCTGAGAAATCTTCCGTGTGCCGTTTCGCCTCAGAAGCAGAAGCAGAAGATGCCCGATGTCGTCTTGTTGTGATGTTGATGTCATGTCGGCAGTGGGGTTAGGTACCTAATATAAACGTAAACAAAACAAACGCGAGATAAGAGGCTAAAGAGAGTTACAAATTACAAACAAACAACAAATCCTGATTGAGTTTAAGTGCTTCCGTGATGTCAACTGTAAATTTCCAGACTTCTTTCGCCAGCCTTGCCAGTGATGTGATTAATATATTCGAGAGAACGTTAGTTTTTGTAAGTATTGCGTTTCCTTGACCACCTAAGTTTTTAGGTTAGTAATAGTAAAAACAATTGTTTAAACATTTCTCAAAATTATATTTATATAACTTAAGTCTAGTGACTTAAAACATAAAATATATTTTTGAATTTGATGGTAAGTTAAGTATTAGGTAAAGACTTGTAGGCCTAGCCTCTAACAATCGGGGTTTAGTTCAATCCTTTTGCAAATAATTTAGGCCTTGACCTAGGCTAGGTCTTTTTCTCTCTTACTTGCAGAGCCACAAACTCGTTCGTTTATTCCCTATGAAGTTTTTTTTTACCCAATTACTAAACCTAATCTGGTCATACATTTTCGTGAATATCTCGCTTATTTGATGTTGGGTCAAATTATTGCATATATTCATGATGCTGCTTGTTATTCCGGTTAATTTAAGTAGGCCCAAGTCACCCACATTAGGTAAGTGGCTTTCACTCAAAATTTTGGCTGCACTATAGTAGGTATCTGTCCTAGGCCTAACTTACACCCATTCGAATGAATAAGTCGATTATTTCATTTGTTATACAAGTTATCAAGTTTGGTTAGTTAGGTTAACATAACCTAAGTGACCGTATGAAATAACTTAGGGAATCATTAGGCTATCAAATAATCTATTTAGGCTATCGATAATTTTCATTCGATTGACTAACTTATAGGACAGATACGGTACTTAAATGTAGCCCGTGTTTTTCATAAATAAGCTTTTTATAGTTTTTGGGGGTTTTCTGTTGTTTTGTTTTCCATGGGGTGATTAAGTATGCATTAAATAAGGTGACCATGGGAACCTATGTAATGTAGCCTAAGTTATCATTAGAAACGAGTGAAATTTGTTCTGATCATTGGAACCTATAAGCTAGTAATTTACATATCATTAGAAACTAAGTTAGATTTTTACTTGAAAACAATATAGCCTAACTAACTTAACTTAGTGCAAAAAAGATTTTCTGCTGTCACAAAAACTGAATAAACTACGATCGTTGGATCGTTTACATTTTAACATTTTATTACTGTATTGCCTCTTGTCTGCTTGTCTCTGTTGCCATTACTGTGTTAAGTGAATTGAATACTACCTAACACAAACATGAATGATTGAAAGGATCTTCTAGGGAAGAAGATGAAACCTAAGACGAGGCGACAAATATTAAGTTTATACAAAGGTGACAAAGCTGTAGAGGCATTTGTAAATGCCTTTATTAATACTCACAGTATGTTTTTGACGTTTTAGTGTAAACCATTATACTCATTTTTCGAATTTAAAATGTTTAACAATATTAATATTCAGTTAAAATATTGGTAACGATAACATTAATATAGGCCTAATCGACATTTTTAGCCATCGGTCGATGTTTTAAGGATCGATAGTATATCGGCAAAACGAGATGCAAGTGTAGTGTAGTGTAATTCTTCTATTGGCCGTAGTACGCGTTCACGTCGGTTGTGGAGCGAGAAATTATACTATATTTGAATAATAATAAGTAGTCAAACGCCTTCAAGAAAACTACCGTATGTGAATCGATTTGTAGTCACCATTTTATAAGAAAGTATTACTGGTACCTCATATCTAATATTGACCTATATTAATTATTTCAGGATTTAAATATAGAAAATACAAAATAAAATATAACCCTAGAATTCTTTTAAATGGGTTTATGGGGTGCTAAAAAGATAATCATGTTTTTACTAAAAAAATCGTGAAACCCAGATTTTGACTTTTTAAATTTTTTACCTAAATATAATATTATTAATTCATCAATAAATTTTATAAAACTTAGCATGCATGAAAATAAAGGATGACAAAATTTAACCCAGTTCAATTTTAAATTTTTGAGGGGCACCGATTTCACTTTTCAAATTCATGCAAATTTCGTGGGGAAACAACAATAGGAACAGTTTTTTTTCCTTATTGCAATGGAACAAGTTCAAATAAAAGTAAAACTAAAATGTAAATATAACGTGAAAATGGGTATCATATTTTAACTTTTTTACATTTTTCACGTTAGGCCTATTTTTACGTGAAAAAATATGATATTTTTCACTTTTTACATTTTCACTTTTTTTCACGTGAAAATAACGTTATTTTTACATTATGTGCTGACTGGGAACTGAACGTTGATTATTGTGAACGAATCAGTTCTTATTTAGACATGTGAGGTAGGTACCGGTAGGTTGGGTGTTATGTGGATTCGTGACTGTTAAGTGTTTTGTAGTTAGGTTAGATTAGGAAGGTAAAGTTTAGGTTATAATCGAGTTGTTGATTTATGTTAGGCCTATCTCCAGACTGTTTTTGCACTTTTTTGAAACCATGGATTAGCCAGTATGTTTAATCTATGACCAAACTTCTTTGATAAAATAAATAGCCTACATTAAGCACAAATTGACACTGTTCTAACCTAACTTAACCCAACCAAACTTCTCAAATCTGATGTAGCTTAAAATTAGATTTTATAAAACAAAAAAAAAAGGGGTAAGAAAGGTAGGCCGGGTAAATGCAGATCTAGGCTGTATTAAGGCCTTTGAAGGTAGATTACATTTTTTAAATTATTATTTGTTGTGTTTAAACTGCTATTAAAATACAGTAGTGCAAAAACACTTGATACTTACTTACTTGATACTTGTCTTCTTTATCTTTGACCGTGGTTACGGATTGATAGCGTCAAATTTTTAATACTATACAATAGAAACATATATTTACAACATAAATACTAGATACTAAGGCTGTGGCGGAAATTTCAACCCGGCATGAGAGGTTCCTCTAACAACTCTTGCACACTATAGAGGGGCCTTTGCAAGAGAGAATTGCTTACTGTGGCTTTAAAAGCTTTCATTTCTAAGTTCCTGACTCTTGCGGGCAGGGTGTTAAAAATCTTTATAGCAGAGTGCGGGTAGCTCTTTTGTGTTAGGCTTAGACGGCAGCGAGGCATGTCCAAGTCATGAGCTCTGCGTGTTCCGTGGTTGTGATGGCTACTTCTGCTATTAAAGCTGGTCAGGTTCTCTTTTAGCAGTAATAGGCTGTTCAGGACATACTGGCTAGCAACGGTGAGGATACCCAATTCTTTAAAAAGGGGTCGGCAGTGTTCTCTTGGGCCGGAGGATGTTATTACTCTCAAGGCTTTCTTTTGCAGCAACAGTATATCCTGGGCAGAAGGAGATTGGCCCCAGAGTACTATTCCATACAGTATATGGCTATGGAACAAGGAATGGTAGATGGTAATCAAGTAGTTTTTAGTGATAACCTCTCTAAGCTTCCTGAGAAGGTAGAGTACCGGTACTCTAGACAACTTGACGCAAACCTTGTCTGTGTGTATGTTCCAGCCTAACCTAGGGTCAATCCAGAATCCTAATAGCTTTACAGCCTCGTCCTGCTCAATCCTCGATCGCAGAGTGCAGATTAGGGATTGGGTTTTCGCCTCATTAATTTTGAAGCGGTTTGTTATGAACCAATCCTTAGCCATTTCCAGCAGGTTGTCTCCCTCTGCCCTCAATTGTTCAATGTTCTTCCCCCTATTGAACAAGGTGGTGTCGTCAGCAAACAATAAGGTTTGTCCATTTGGGTCCAGATCGTTGATCATTATGCTGAACAACAGGGGTCCGACCACCGATCCTTGAGGCACCCCGTGCGGGATAATCTGCACACTAGAAGATGTTCCATTTAAAGACACAAGCTGCTTTCGGTCTGCCAAGTAGCTACTTAAGGTGTTCAAAACTGTGCCTCCGATACCATACCTCTTAAGCTTGGCCAACAGTATGTCGTGTGATACTACATCGAAGGCCTTGCTCAGGTCGCAGAGCCTCAAAAGAACCGACTCGTTTTCCTCGAAAGCATCTGTAATGGCACTTACAAGATTCAAGAGAGCAGAAGATGTTGAGCGCCCACTCCTGAAACCATGCTGAGCATTTGAAAATAGTTGGTTGCTTTCAAAATATGCTGACAATTGCCTCTTCATTATGGTCTCCAGCACCTTGGAAAAGACTGGCAGGATAGAGATGGGTCTGTAATTTGCCGGGTCGGAAGGATCACCCTTCTTATAAATGGGAATAGTCCTGGCAATCTTAAGGCTATCCGGAAAAATTCCCTTAGTCAGACAGAGGTTTATAAGCTTTGTCAGTGGCAAGATTATCATATCAACTGTGCCCTTTAAAATAGAGCATGACAAACCATTGATGTCCTGACTGTCGGAGTCCCTAAAACCTTTCACTAACCCTAGGATATAGTTTTCACTCACCTCAGTCCAAGTTGTTAGTTTGTTATTTCCTGCGAGGTTTATTGGTACATCCACTGTCCCAGTCCCTCTTTGCTTCGGGGTAGGGAGGTTAGACACGATGTCATCCGCTACCTTAAAAAAAAAATCATTAAAAGTATCAGGGGACACTGTTACCTTGGGTGCAGGGGTGGATTTTCTGCACTCATTGACCAGCTCCCATGCTGCTTTGCAAGTGTTGGGAGCAGCAGCTATCTTATTAACATTGCTGGATTTTTTCGCTATCTTAACTCTAGAACTATAAAAACTTTTTATTCTCTTGTAAAGCAAGAAGTACCTCTCTTTAGAGTTAGAGTCTAGGGCAAGTTTGTAGTGGTCATGAGCAAAGGTCATAACGGATCGCAGTCTTTTCAGATCAGGGGTGTACCAGGATTTGTCCCTTATCACAGGTTTTACTGTATTTGACTTACATTTGAATGACTTAATAGGATAGACTATATCAAATTTTTCCTGAAACAGTGTAGAGAAGTAATGGAAACCTGAGATTGGATCTGACACTGACTTAAAGCTGTCCCAATTTACGTTTGAAAGTTCGTTTCTAAGCAAAGGCAAATTATCTTTATCTACAGATCTCTTATGTACTACGTAGCTATCAGAAACACTATTGGATGTTACCTGGTCTGTCTTTACCTTAAGGATTACTGCACAGTCAAGGTCCGCCACCGCCGATTCAGTCACCTTCACATCATAGTCCCAGGTATTGAAGTTCGTAGCTGTCACATCCAGACAAGCTGAAGCTCGTGTGGGAAGCCTTGTTGTGATGTAGAGCCCGTAGCAGATTTACAAAAATTGTCTCCTCTCTGGAAGTACGCTCGAGATGCACGTTGAAGTCACCACTGATCACTAGTTTTTTATGTCCAAGCCCACTGAGGAAGTCCAAACAGAGTTCAAGCTGAAGTAGAAAGTTGTCAAAAGCCCCGTCTGGGGACCTGTATATGCACACTAAAATTGTGGAGATGTCAATAATCTCAACCGCAGTTGCTTCAAAAATTAATTCAACACAAAAGGCCTCTAGGTTGATTTCTTTGTATTTGTACGAGGGAGCTGCATATATAGCAACACCACCATTTTTACGATTAGTGCGGCAAAAAATATTTGCTAACTTGAGTTTAGCCAAGCTGTGGTAGAATTCACTTTCCTCACTGTTGAGCCAGTGTTCGGTCAAACATAGAAAGTCACAATCTGATTCGTCAACAAACAACGAGGCTAAAGTAAACTTTGTCCTTAAACATTGCACATTGAGATTAGCAAATGTCACTGATATTGGCTTCAACTGAGGGGGTACCTTATTCTTATTTACATTATTTACATAGGACCTAGTTACATTTTCATGCAGGCCAAGGCCTAGATCTAGGCTAGTCAGCTTTTTATTTAGTTCATCACCTAGTCCCAGCTCCCCAGTGCAGGTAGGCCTACTTACGTTTATGGTGACTTGGTTCTGCGAAATGTTTGTCCTAAAAAAGAAGCATTCTTAGGCCTAGAACCTCGTATCGATGGAATGAATGACCTCACTAGTACACCACAGTCTGGAGGTAAGTTAACATTAATCAACAACTCGATTCATTTTCAACTAAACTTTACCTTCCTAATCTCTAATCCATCAGATATATTAGTACAACAAATCCTTGGCACGAGTTGCGAATGATTTGACTTGAGCTGGCTTGAGTCCATGTTTAACTCGGACAAAAAAATCACTTATTTTCTGAGCCAGGTAATGGCCGAGCTATCCAGACTGCCGGGTTATTGAGTGCGGAGTTTGCAAAATTCTACAGTATTTCCTAAAAAATGTAGGCTAGTGCCTTTAGGCTTTAGCAAAAGAGGCACTGTTTAACTATTTTGTGAGGGATTGATCATGATCCCTGACATGTACTTTAGGACTAGGCCTATTCCTAAATGGTTTCTTTACTAATAAATCAAGGAAGCCTAAGGAAAACCTTTCTTTCTCAGTTTCAGAATATCGGTGTGCTTCAGACGTTTACTTTCAACTATTCAGACATCCTCTTCAACCCCTCTGCAGAAAAGTATCTTGAGAATTTCATTACTCTGTTGCAAGAAATAAAGGTAGGTTATCATACTGATGTACATTTAGGCCACCTTCGCATTAGGTCACAGCCACCCTGTAGCAGCCACCCGTCAGCCACTAGATCTGTAAAATTTCATTGAGTCTTATGGAGCCCTTAACACTAGCGGGTCTCAGCGACCCCGTTGCTAAAGAACTGCTTCGCTGGTAGGTGGCTGCCACCGTGCTTTTTCTGCGACTCAACTTGTAGCAGGCCATTGTAGGCTAATATAGGCTACCATACCTAGCCATTTACATTAGGTGGCTGCGACCTAGCTCTCGGCGATGCGTGCCAGCTTGTTTTGTCGTCTTGACTGATACTTACTTACTTGATACTTGTTGTCTTAATCCTTGACCGAAGTATCATAAAGCAAACAAAGAACAAAATCTAGGTCTGACAACATTTATTTGAAGGAGATGATCAGTTTTAAAGGCCGGGGGATTGTTTTAAATCAATGCAATCAGATGAAAAAAAATCCAATTTCACCGCCTAAAATGTGTGTAGCCTTAAAAACCTAATTTAACTTATCTAATGTGCTATGACGGTGCAACTTCAATCAAAGCCCCTATTGGTTGTTTCAAACTTTTGTGTAATTGGTCTCTGAAAAGAATTTTCCTTTCAGAATGTACTTGATAAGCTGCAGCTACTATCTGAACAGTCAAAGTCCACCCAACTTACAACACATCCGAGCGATGCTACCAACAACACCCATCAAATGGTTCCTAGTGACCTCATATCAGCGTCACACTTCATTCACACATCTGAGGTAATACTAAGATGCCCAAGACCAAGGCTGTATAAGGCCAGATGCTAGGGGCCTCAAAAGAATTTTTTCTATTGAAAATTGCATTTCACACATCTGTCTGGTAGGGGCTTAAAATATTGAGTAGAGCTTTTATCTTTGTGGTTGCCAAAACCGTCTGCGAAGATTGCACAATTGAGAATCACGATATTACTGCGATCCCAGGTGACGATGATGGAGTCTCAGCAACTTAAAAAGATGATCACAATTCCTCTATGACCATAAGTAAGGAACGTTCATGATGTTGCCGCGGTTGTGAAAGACGAAAATGATCCCTCTGCAAATGCGGAAGATGTTCAAGATTTCGCCGCGAACAGGGGAGACGGTAATTATGTCACAACTAATCAACAATCAAACAATCGCAAAAGATATTTACTATTTAGTCGCGACCATGGGAGACAAAAATGATATCCTTAACAAACATTCCGTAAACACAGGAAATGTTCGATGTGACCTCAGCAGACGTAGAAGATCGCAAAAATATTCACTATTTTTCTGTCAACATAAGAGACATTCACGATTACTCCGTGGCTGCAGAAAAAACTCACTATTTCCTTGTGACTGAGGACAATGACATTAACTTTCTATTAAGTTTTGTGTTCCTAATTTCTTTTCACCACGTTAATTCTGATTATAGTATAATTAATATTTTTTTTAATCAATACTTTCCAAAGTACCTAACTTGATTTTGACTCTATCTTACTTTAGCCTGAGACCCAACTAGGTCTATTTGCGGATCGGATTTTTTAAGACAAAGGGTCAAGTTCATCGCGTTGGGGCAATGCTAGGTGTATTTCTAGCCTCGCAAGCCCCAATGAAAGAGGAATCAGAATAGGCTCTCTTGTGTGAGCCATCAGTGTATCATAGAGTTTAAATACGGCCCTGCCTCTGACCCATAGTTAATGTAAGAGCATGAATGAATACAACAACAATTACAGTTATTTAACCATTTTACTTATACAATTAAAATGTCAAGTGGTGCCCTAATGGCCTGATCTTTTAGAAACATTCCCTTGTAAGAAGTACAGTGAGTAACAGTCATGTCTATAGTTATTCCTTATTTTATAAAGAATTATGTTTTGTTCAATAGAAATTATTTAATTTAGGACAATGGGTATAGCCTAAATGAATGGTGTACATAAAGGTATTTATTCTTCATCTTAGTTCTGTTTTCAAACTTTATCATTCTTAGACTGCACAAAAAATAATTTCTGAGTCAATCAAATGTTGTATATGGTTTAATTTCCATACAACTTGTTATTTAGATTTTTGTATCCGAGCCACTAACAGTCAGTCATGATGTACTTGGAGGTTTCATGGCTCCCACTGGGTTGATGAACAACCACTACCTCGCTTCGGAGATTGTTATTGAGCCTACTGCGGAACCACCTTGGACCCCTGCAGCAGAGAAGGTTAGTGTTGCAGTCTACAATTCTTTAAAATAGTGACACACTCTTTCAAGCATATTCTAAACTGATAATAAAGCCATGATGAGTGTAGAATGGGGTGAGTTGATCTGTGAGTTGATCTGTGTGTTTTTGTTCTGGGCTAAGATAAGTTTTTTTAGCCATGATTATTTTATTTACTAAAAGGCCAATGATCAAAGATCCTGAGCCTGGTCTCCAACCATTATAAATCTGCTGAATCTTCAACCTTCCGATTACTTGTCAAACAAATAACCACTCAGCTACTGACTTGTAAAGAAAGGTAAGACTTTGTTATGTCATCAAAGGGCACCCAATAAAGTATTGAAATTTCTTCTGCCATTTTAAGGAAACTAACCATAACAAATTTGTATGAATAATAGTTCTCGTCTGTATTCCTGTTTTCCTCTGTTTAGTTTTTATCATGCTCAACCTTCATCAAATACTTGTGATTTTGACTCTACCGTCCAGAAGGAACAGTTTCGAGAGTTAGACTTTTCTCTGTAACAACAGGACCAATTTTTCTGTGAATATTTTCTTTTGAACTGTCCGATAGTAATAATTGGCTTTTGAATCTAGGATGATGACCAAGAAGTAGAGAAATCAGAGGCAGACAAACCAACAACAGTAGCCAAAGACAAGTTTCAGTGCTCTATTTGTAACAAGGTTCTCAGCTCAAAGGGTAGCCTGACAAATCACCAAGCCACCCATTCAGGTAAACACGTCATGTCAGCCAAATCGTTAATAATTGCCTTGATTAATGAAATAAACTTCCCAAAAGAATACCTAATATACTCTACTTCAGCAAAGTGCCTTAGATATAGTGAAATAATGACTGGAATTTAGTCCATCTTAAATTTGTTAGGCCTATACTATTTCAAGATCAAAGTACTGTATGTTAGACTGTGTTCTTTCTCTAATTATTTGTTATGTTTCAGGACAGAAGTGTTTCTGTTGTGAACACTGCGGCAAATTGTTCACCACAAGCCCAAACCTCGCAGCTCATGTGACAAGACAACATAACCTCAACACAGAATCAGCTCACTCTTGCAGTATGTAGATATTTCTTGTTATGTCTATGTCTTGACTCATTTACTGTTGTAAACTTGTCCGAAAGTCCCTTAAAAATCTTGACTTAAAAATCAGTGTTTTGGTATTTTGTTTTCAGTTGTATTTTAATATGTTTTTAAAAGGTTATGTCCATATTACCTTATATTTTACAAACATTGTAAATCCTTGAGTTTTTAATCAAATCTTTTTCAAGATATAAAAGTTACCGGTGCAGTTTGATATTCAGTTTTTGTCCCTCAGAAGAGTGTGGGAAGCTGTTTGTCCGCAAGTCAGCCCTAGACACCCACCTCAAGTGTCACCTCGGAGTTAAACCATTCGCTTGCAGCTACTGCAGCAAAACATTCACACAGAAAGTGACCAGGGACACTCACCAGCTCACACATACTCGTAAGTTTCAACTTATTGACTTTATTTCATGATTATCGAGTACCTAATTTTACACCTAATTTTCTGATTGGTGTTCGATGACGTTTGAATTGATTGGTCCCTGTGGGCCTCAAGAAGGTATGTTGAATAGAAAAAAAAAACGACATTTGCTAATACACAAGAATAAATATCAGCCTACTGATTATTGTTTTGTGGTAGTGGTATGCAACATCATTGCCTTCCTGTAAAGCTATGGATACCGCGACTATGCACCAACTCTATTTAGTGTCTGAGAATTAAGTTTAGTGACCTGGCCAAGATTTACATTCAACAAAATAGAGTGTGACTTAAAATCGTGGGTGCTGTGAGAATCAGACCAAATTCCTAGTGGCATTAATGTAATTAAGTAAATACAATTGAAATTCCTTGCAGTTTTGTATAGTTAGGCGCTCCAAACAAATGTCCTTACCTCATATAAAAACTATGATTTTTACAGGTTTTCGCAGCACTTTATAATAAAACTTTAGAAATCAAAGACTATGATTTAAATATCTGAGAGCAACCATGATTGTTGCAGGTGATTACAAGTTTTGCTGTGATTTGTGTGACAAAAGGTTCCCAACCCAAGCCAAGCTGACTTTCCACCGTAAAACCCATGGGGAACCTCAGCACACTTGTCATCTGTGTGATAAGAAGTTTACCACCAGGTAACATACATCTCATTACTGTAACTTGTATTTGTGTGCATGTAATTTCATAGCGACAAGCTAATAATGGAAGCCAGCACAGTATTAGATATTGTAGGTGCATTATTTGACTTTGATCCCAATGTAAAATTCATTTTAATTGTAGTGTTTAAGTACTTGAAACTAGAAGCAATGCCAGCCTACATTGATTAATGCTCTATGATACTGATAGTGTATTAAATATCTTTTCTGTGAACTTGCAGACAGTATCTGAACGCTCACTACCGCACTCACAACGTCACTCGGCCTGCTGAGACTGCTCAATGTCGGCTGGATACAGTCCTTCAACAGGTCAGTGATGTACAGTTACAGTTACAATCGATAGATATCGAGTCCGTAAAAGTATGTATGTGGTGAATGGAAGCAGAGAATATCATATCACACCATTACATTTAACAGCGTGTAACTGCTAAATTTAATGGTCAGATATAATATTCCCTTTAGCTATAATTGATATGATCATATAAATATGACTTGTTTATTTAATCATTTAAAAAGTATTCTGTTGGTAAACAATAACTTACTAGTCTAGTAATTTGGACAGGCTCTATTAATATCTTAGTTCTGAAGCCATATTAAATCAAAATCAATATTACTCTGCTAGTATTTGTAATATGTGTAATAGTAGCGGTGGCAGTATTTGGTATATCAGTTTTTTGTAAGGCTTTTGTTCAGACATCGACCAATGACTCATTTTGTGCAGCACAGGATTATTGAGTAGCCTATTACTCTGTTATTTTGGTTACAGGTTCCAGAGAGTTCAAGTTTTAGTTGTAAGCAGTGTGGAAGATCATTTCCAAGTCAACACCTGCTTACGCTTCACTCACAGAAACACAACCCTTTGTCTGCTCGCTACCGCTACCTGGAGAAGAGGAAGATGGCTCCCAGACAGTAAGTCACCTTAGAGCTAGAATTAATAAAGAAAAAGCGTAATAAGTTTATCTAATACACACTTGAGCAAATTTGAAATTAAGTTTCGAGTACATTTATTATGTCCCATCAATTAATGTTCATTAAAAGGCAAAAAAAAACCCCTTGCACTCCTTAGTTTTAATCTCTGACATTGATGGAGATTGAAGAATAAATCACAGGTGATCCCAACCCACAGGTGGTACAGGTGGTCGTTGACATCCAAAAATATTATAAACATAGTATTATTTTTATTTACCTAACTAATGGGGGGAAAATATCAAATTCTTGTTATGGTTAAACTTGAAATAACTCATTCAGCTGTTTACTGTAAGATGTGTCAGAAAATATCAGTAGTGAAAGCATTTGTTTCTACCTCTGTACTTTTGGTCAATTAGTGATGGATTAGTTTGGATTTAAACAACACCATTATACCTGGGTGCAACTTTTAAGGCAAAGATGAGTAAAGGATGAATATTTAAAGAATTAGATTAAATCTTTGTTACAGACATGGATCAGCATTTTATTTTTATTTTTTTATCCAGGACAATTTAGTAAACGCCTAACCACCAAAAACAGCTGGTCCAGTTTCCAACCTTCAAAAGCATCTGACTTTTCTTAAGATCGCACCAGTAAACTTTCTGATTACTAGGCATGTACTAAATGATGTGTTATAAAGTAAAAGAAGTGTTTATATTATTTTTATGTGTCAAAAAGTCGAAGTTTTATTTTAATTAATAGTATATACGGTAGTTTTATTTTAATTAATAGTATATACGGTACCGGTAGGCCTAGTGATTGAAGGAACCAAAAACCGCAGCAAAACATTGAGATTTAAATAGAGGTCAACAAGGTAAAAGGACAGACCATAGGAAGAAAGGAGACAATCTCAGTCTTGGAATGAATAGCGGTGAGTTTAGTTAGACATAGTACTTTTCTGTCTTTCTGTGTACTGTTCCGTTCGGTACCAAGTCTCAGTTACTTTATGATGTATTGTAACAGGAAACACTCTTGTGAGTTGTGTGGGAAGGAGTTTCTACTGAAGGCTAGTTTGTCACATCACCACAGACAGCAGCACGCTACAGGGCTGAGTGAGAGACAGAAGAGACCGTTCTCCTGTCATCTGTGTCACAAGACGTTCACACTGCGGGCCAAGGCTCGTCTACACATGCAGACACACACTCAGGTCAGCATCAGCAATCAACTTCAACATGTGTTGTTAAGTGTAGTTGAATCTAATAAAATTTAAACCAAGGCTAAGAAGGTTGATAAATCAACAAAATGAATCTATTATCTTGCTCATTTCCCTGTTGACCATAAAATATTCTTCTTTAAATATGATCTTAAAAAAGCAATGGCGATTTAAAAATTATGTGGTAATGCTTTTTCCTTTCACAACCCAGCCAGGATCAAGAAGACAAATTAATCTTCTCACTGGTACATTAGTGTGTCTAGATACATTAGAAACAGTTTTTTTTATGCTAGAGCCATTTGATACAAAAAGAAAATGTACAGGTTATATTATAAAACCTTTTTGGTCAAAATGTGATGAATTAATTTAAATTACTACTTTGCTATTAAGTTTAGGATAGGGCCCTATAACATAATTTTACTTGGTAAAATATTTTGGAAGGACAAATTGAAATTATCCAAAACTTTAATCGCAGATGCTGAAAAGATTTATCAACTTCAAAATAAACAACTGTATTATTATCAAATTGGCTAATATATGTCATTTTGATACAGCAATTGCAGACCTAAACCGAATAAGCATAAAGTTTGTTCTAACCTGAATCATACACTACCATCAGCATGGCTGTTACTTATCTTACACTGTGCTTCAGCAAGCACACCACATGTGCACGGTGTGTGGACAACAGTTTCTGCGCAAGGACTCCCTGCGCCGCCACATGGCTTTACACGGTGCAGACGCTGGTGACACAGGTGACGGGCCCTACACTTGCCAGGTGTGTGGTCTGGTCAGTGCCACCAAGGCGATTCTCAAGTTCCACATGAAGACTCATGCTGCTCACTACAAGTGCGGCCGGTGCCACAAGTCCTTCCGCAGCAAAACGGCACTGTCTTATCATACACAGAACCATGACGGGAACTTCAAGTAAGTGATGCATGATAGACTTGCATTAGTGAAGAACTGTTGCCATGTTTGCAGCCAAAAGCAATCGTCATCATTATCTTAATCTGCTAGCACACTCCGCATTATTTAACGTCCACTTAACCCTTTCAATGTGGTTTGACTACCTAGTAAATTGTGGAATCTCAAGGGTCTCCGCTGGAGCTTTCACACCTACAACAGCGCTAGTGTCACATTCAGGCTTTAGTTCCCATCTCATTGACAATGACATGGGGGTAGATTCTACTAACTTGTTTCTGTTGCACTGATGAGTGTAACCTCAGAGAAATAAGATACAGAGGATACATTCAAAGGTACACTTAAGTGGTGTCTAGTACCAGTCGCTGATGTCTAGAACAAATTATATTCATCTTCCCCTCCCCCTCTCCTTTCACCCTGGCCTTTACATACTACAGTGCTCACGCTGAAGGAAGACCTTGTGCGCTACAACTGCTGTACAACAACACTATGTGGCCATCGTCATTCAGGCTCTTCCTCGCTCATTACAAGTACATTACCGCCCCAACATACCAGAGCTAAAAGCGCACGGTTGTCCCATAAGCTTGTGTATGTACCTTACTTCTCTGTGGTGTAACTCTAAGGTTATTTTAGCTGCAAGAGATTGATGCCCATACTTGTGTAATCCATATTAACCTTATTAAGTGTGGCAAAGCCGGTGGCGTTGTTATTGTTTTCAAGATAAGCTTACAATTCCAACAAGCATACAACCTCATTGAATGAGAACTTTGAAGGTTCTTCAATAATTATTTTGAATCATTTAACTGGAGAGTCCTTTTTATATTTGCCCTACTTTTTCCATATGTTGAACCAACATGATATTAACAGGTAGTGGATAGCTTACTACACAATAAGGATGTGTCGAATTTGAATCTCAAATCCATCGAATCCTAATAAAAGATTCAAAAGAAATAAGAGAATCAAAAAAAAAAAAAATTTTATAATAGAATTATATGGCATATACTGTGACATTATATAACCATAAAGGCTATTGATGTCGTAATATACACTATACTGTGGACATTGCCTAACCATAGAGATTATTGACTAATATACAGTATTACAGTGACATTGACTAACCATAGAGGTTATTGTTGCTTAATAGTTAATATACATACAGTACTGTGACATTTCCATTTCATGAACAGACTTAGACTATACTATCGATCAAAGAATTTAAAATGAACAAGTGTACCTACAACAACCATAAATAACCAATAATGAATATTTGCCGTCCAAATAAAGTATACCGACCGATCGTTTCATTTAGATAAATAGGTTAAAAGATGTAACCGATTAGTCCTCTGTTATTTTTGCCATGTGTCAAAAGAAATTACGTAACTTGGGTCTCATTGTAAAGAGTAGTCATTTATGGTTAGTGTAATATTTATTTTTAAATGGTTCCTATTCCATTCTTGCTTTTTTAATCACCATAAGCCCAATTATTTTTGGAACTCGATATTCAAGATTCAATATTTTTAGGATTTGAATTCGAGATTCAAAATACCTGGATTCTACACAATGATGAACCGTAATAATAAACCATAATAATGTCAATACTCGTCTTGGTCTTAATACACACCGTGATGTGTCAGCATTGTATCTAATCTAATATTTTGATTACAGACACCAATGTACAATCTGTGGCAAACAGTTTGTCCGTAACACACATCTCAAAGGACACATGGCCGCTCACTCTACGGAGAGACCACACAAATGTGAGATATGTGGCAAGACTTTCAAAGACACTAAACACTATAGAGAACACATCAGACGAGTGCGGCACGACAAACTACCACCGCCACCTCAAATGCCACCCGGTAAGAATCTTATCTTACTAATATTATAAATGTGAAAGTTTGTGTGTTTGTTTGAAGTTCAATCACGCATAAACCACTGGACGGATTGGACATGATGGTAGCTCACATTCCCGATTAACATATAGGCATATTCTTATCTCAAAAATCTTTTTGGGCTCCGCCCCAGTGGCTCTGTAGTTCCTCATCTTAACCTTATGAGTATTCATATTTAAAGGAAATTGAAGAATTTAGTCAGCTGTTTCAACTAAGAAAGTTGGTTCTGACATACAAAATCATTAAAAAGTTATAAGATTTACCAACAGGGTGCAGCGCTATAATTTTTTTTCCATTTATGTAAACAGCTAATTTGAAATAAGCAGCAACAAAAAACTTTGATACGCAATGAGAACTGTCAAAGTAGGATTGTTTACAATTTTGTTTATGTTTTCAATGTCATGAAAAATTTGTTATGTTTTGTGAATTCGTAATAATTTATTTTTCTTTATTGTTTAGGTGAAGTGGTAGAACATTATGGCTATGGTAGATGTGTATACCATTAGTATACCGTCAGTTTAAAGAAGCAAATTTTATCAAACTTTGTCCTCCCCCATTGCAAACGCAAAGCTTGAGTACAGTCCAACCTCGGTATAACGAATCTGAAGGGACCGAACTGAATATTCGTTATACCAAGGACTTCGTTAAAACGGGGTTCGTTATATTGAGGTTAGGTTTGCAGGAATTTAGCTAAGTCGAGGTTCAGAACCAGCGTCGGTCAATGTAGGTTGGGATTTGACCTCAACACAATTAAAGTAGCATAGGCTAAAATACTTTACAGTACAGTGTTAACATTGTAAAGTAGAACCACAATTAATTAATTATCTGGGGTAATAAAGGGAAGGGATCTTTAATATTGCACAATCATGACATTTCTAGTCATTGACCTTGGTACAGGTTACAAACTGTACGTTTAAAACCACAGCTTAATCTAACCCTCCTAAAACCTAGCCAAACACTGTATTGTGTAGTCATAAACCACGTAAAGAACAAAACAAAACAGTAGAGAGTTTTGTAAGCTACTGCTCGTGATAGGCCGGTAGGCTACTTACAGTACAGTACCTACTGATTTATCACAACAGAGGAATCTCAATAACAATCATCAACTATAGCATTGGTATTGCTAGTTGCTAGTTGAAACAAATCGTATTGAAAATAATAAATTATTAGATAAGTCATTATAAAAGTGTATAATCATAGCCAACTTAAAGATAACAAAAACGCTCATAAAAGGAATGTTAAGATAACGATGTTGCTATTCTTTCTCTTTGCTTTTGTTTTTATATTCTTTCTTAGGCTTCTCTTTATCCAAAAAATGTACAAGTCACCATAGTTAGGCACTTATCGCCCAATCACAGCTTACTAAAAATTACGTCGTCATCAGTCCTCTCCTCAGTGAATGAAATCAAATCAGTCCTCAGTACTGTACATATGTCACAGTCACATAGCGTGCAGTGACAGCAGCAGCAGACAAAGATGTGTAAAATGGAAAACGGGGCAGACGAATGTTAGCACAAGCGATGACGTCACCTTTCAATTTCATTTGATAAAGAAACAGATTTTCCACCATAAACGATAATGGGGTGGGGGGTTTGTTATATCGAGGGAATGACGTAGACAATTCGTTAAGTAGAGGTTAAATTCGCTATGTAGAGGTTCTGACAATGACAAAAATTTGTTATATTGAGGTGTCTTATTTTAGCCAAAATCACGAAAAATTTGTTAAATCAAGGTCGTTGTTATGTATAGGTAAAATACACATTGTGTCCTATGGAGGGTTCTAGGGGATTTAAAAAAATTTGTTATATCAAGGAATTTGTTATATCGAGGTTCGTTATATCAAGGTTAGACTGTATAACTGCAATAAGTATTTTAAACTTATATGCAACCCCGTACAAAGGACGGGTACTCTGCTAGTTAGATTATATTTTCTTTTCATAAATATTGTAGTACAATATTTAAAGAAACTATTGTATTTGTCAACGTTTACGACTTTGAGTTTTGAATGGGAAGGTACGTTTTGGGTCCTCCAAAAACCCATATAAGTGGTTTTCTAAGTGATGTATGTTTGTTTGTGTCTGTGTATGTGTACATTATACTGAAATACAGACTACACCTGTGGATTTTAATGAAATTTGGTATGTGAGTACTAAACCATAGTATCTTTAGGCATTTTTTTTTTAAATTTTGATTTTTGATTGTGATGTCCCCATAAAACCCATAAAATAACTGAAAAAACAATTTTCACAAAAATGGTCCTAATGAATTTGGTCAAAATGAAGTATGTTATAGCATAACCTCCACAATAAAAATTTTACCGTTCTAAAATTAACGCAATGTTTGTCATGAGCGTGAGTAACTATAGGAAACCCTATATTTCCCTTTATTACCCCCTATATCCCTTTATTACAGGAATTGGTGAAAGGAGGCGTCTACACAAAATATACTTAATTTTGACACATCACTTTTAAAAATCCGTCCATTATTAATGGAGGAGTTGTGTTTTGTAGAAATCTCCTTCACGTATTGTATTTGTATATAGGGATACACATTTTTAATTTATAGTTTTTTACCTATAAGTGTGTATATGAAAGTAGTAGTATGTTCAATTTTAATGACAAACCAATAGGCTGATGTTACCATGTGTCAGTTTCCTGATACAGTTTATTTTAAATAGAGGCTACTTTAAATATTTGTGTCGTTAAAAACGACTTTATGTATTTTTTCCGCCCAACAAACAAATATGTTTGCTTTTTTCAGAAGACCAGCTGTCTGTCAATCAGATGTCTGCAACTCAGATGACCAATGAGTTAACAGCTGGACAATTGGCGATTCATACTCTATTGGCAGGAGATGATGCTACCTATGGACAAACCTATGACCAATTTCAAGCTTGTGTACAGCTGCAGTAAATGACAAACCTACAATCAGTTCAAGCTTGTATAACATCTTCAGTAAGGACAAATCTACAATCAGTTCAAGCTTGTATAACAGCTTCAGTAAGGACAAACCTACGATAAGTTCAAGATTTTATAACAGCTTCAGTAAGGACAAACCCACGATCAGTTCAAGCTTGAAATGAAAGCAAACCTGCTACTCGTCCAATTCCCAACAGGTTTTGATCGATCAAGAAAGAGATAAAAACATGACAGCTAATCTGATGTCATGTTTAAATGTTTGCTCCTCTCAAAAAAAAAAAAAAAAAAACTGTTCTCTCTATTAATCTTTGTAACATCAAAACAAAATGTTTTTAAATATATCAGAGAACACTATGCCACAGAATTAAGGTTGTTATGTTACTTAATCAACCCTATGATGCCTATCTTACAATGTTCAATAAAGTTATGAAAAAACTAAACTGTACTGTTGGCAAATTTCGTTCAAGAGCATAACTATTAGTGAATGGAGATAAAACAAGAATAGTATTTTGGTAAAAAACATTATGGGTCGGTTCCAGAGAGAGCAGTTCGAAGATGAGACTTTCTCTGGAAGACCAAAACCCCACCACCACCTAACTAGCGTCTCTCTGGTCTTGGACAGAAACCGATGAGAACCTCTTCTGCGAAGGAGTGTGGGATTGTGGGATAGCCCCTCACGTCGACTTAGTATAAAAAAATAAATCGAATGAAGGAATTTTATAATTTTTAATTATAAAATTAACCTGTCATACAACCTTACCAACCAAACTTGCTGATAATATAAAAAAGATATAAGATAATAATTGAATGAAGGTTTACTAATTAATAAAAAATAGTCCTGTTCATAAAATAAAATTATAAATGCCTCAAATTCTAACAAAAGATGTACAGTTAAGGGGAGATGCCCAGTTTTTCGGTCAAAAAATTAATTTTTTGTTTATTGCATTGAAAAATTCTTCATCTTTTCCTGATTCAGAAAATATATAATTTTAATATATTTACTACAGTCTAACAATCATAAAAAATAATATAAATAGTACTACACACTCGGTTTTAGTCACAATGGGCTGAATTAGCGTCAATTAAATTTATGTTAGAAATTTAATTTTGTTAAATGGTTGCACTGAATTATTGTTTTGCTAGGTTAAATAGTCAACAAAAATCTTTTTCTGTTTGTTTTTCTTTCTTCATAACATATGTGTATATAATAATAGTGCTGTTTGTGATGAGGAATAATGTGGCATAGGGTAGGCCTAGGCTTGACTTTAAATGAGTTTTTCCGAAACTGTGTTTTTTAATGTTTAGGTACCATTTTCCAGACTACTATAAGTACCACTGACTTCAAATTTTTTTCTGTTACTTAGGACACCATGGCCCACAAAGTGTACTAAAAGTTTGCTTCTATGTTTAAAAAAACATTAACAATAAAATTAATTAATATTTGTAAAATAGTAAAAAAAATATATATTTTAAAAATCTTGATAAAATATGATTGTTTTGGTAGAACATATTTAAATTAGTACAGTTTGTCTTAAATGTCAATACAAATAAGTAGTTAAAATTTGATATGCATAGCTAAAAGGGTTCTTTCTTAAATGGTACCTAAGCAACACGATGTTTACCCATATAAAATGCATTAAATCTAAAAAGTGGGCATCTCCCCTTAAGAAGTAATCTCATTCTAAGCAAAATCTTTGACAAAAGGTTATTGTCACCAGAGGGATATGATCTGGATACCTCATGAATACCAGCATTGTCTATATAGTCAGTGATACCAGTGAAGTACGCTATCCACTACGCCACGAACACCGATGACATCAATTTGTATCGTTCTTACAGTTCGGATGTTCCATTTCGATTTTAATTCCACGGTCACGGCACGGCGCGGTGGTGGGGGGTTTGGTCCTCCAGAGAAGGTTTCTGGTTTCCTTGGTAGAAAGGCAGTTAATTTTTAAAATGAAAAAGTTCTCCCTTAGATTGATTTCAGTGGTCCCATATGTCTAATTAGCTTAGGTGATTAGGCTATAACAATGGATTTAAGCCTTATAACTGTTACTGTTTCCTTTGACTATATTAATACATACGGAAGGGAAAAATAATATACCAAGTCTTGTTAGCCAGTAGTGAAGTCACAACTTCAGCTGGTTCATAATAAAACTCATAAGTTTGTCGGGGAAAACCGACAGGTAACAGCTAGTATAAAAATAAAATGTCTAAAAGGGTTTTTAATTTTAAAATAAGGAGCTATAAAATAAAAATATAAGAAACGAAATATAATAATGAACTATGTATTTATTCAATTTAATTCAATACACAACCAGTCATAGCACTTCAACTTAAATTAAAATACAGTAGACTTCCTCTTATCCGGACACCTTTTAACCAGACATCGGTTTTACCGGACTACACTCGGCAGAAATGACATCGCTTTATCAGCACATCGGTTAACCAGACCAGATAGGCAGGAAGTGGGCGGTACTGAAAAAGACTGATTTCGTGGGAAAGATTTGAGACCAGCAATCACGTGTATACATACAATGCTCTCCTAAATTTAACTCAAATACTGTATACATTATGCATTTAAACGGTCCGTTTAAACAAGTTTTGGGGGATGTCGGTATAACCGGAAAACCCGTTATCCGGACTGGCCTCGGTCCCGAGGAGTCCGGATAAGAGGGAGTCTACTGTAATTGCATCATACCGCAACTAATATAAATAACTTCCAAAAATAATTATTATTAACTAAAGTTACCTTAAACAAGTGATTTTTAGAAAAAAATTATAGCAGCTACCTACCTACACATGACAAAGTTCCCCAGGGGACATAATATTTTTTGATTTCGGTCTCTTCTGAGTGTACTATGGATTTACTCGTATTTTAGGGTAAGGTAGCTGCTATCCTTTTATTCTAAAATCACAATCTTAGCCTAGAGATTTTCTTTAAACAAACAAAAAATATGATCTCAAACTATACTAATGATATTCAAAATAAAAACTTGTTTCATTATTTACATATTTACAATCAGAGTAGAAACCTATTTCCTAAGTTTAAACTGTTGGCACTTAAGTCATGCATGTTACGCCTCTTTGAAAAGTCTTGTTACATTAATAAAATTAAAATGTACTATGGCACACTAATCTTTGATGGCAAAAATTCACATTTAATAGGTACTTAACTTGTTTTTTTTTTTAGATAAATCAAAATACGTGTAAGAATCCCAAATAAAGTACGGCACATCATAATAGTCAACTGTCTCTGTGTAGAAAAAGTTAAACTTTTCCGTGTATTTTTTTCTTTTTTTCACGTAAAATCTAATTTATATGATTTTCATATAGGCCTACAGTTGAGTCTCGATGATCTAACACTTATCTTATTTAGTCGGGGATGGAAAAACGTCAGATAACCTAAACTAATAAAAAAATATAATCTGTAATCTTAAACATCAATCTAGTGTAACCTTGTTGTCTTCCCTTTGTCTGTTAAATGCATTAATTTAAGCATTGTTTACTAAAAGAAACTATTTCCAATACAACCTATCTCAGCTCTTGGGAACAGCTGTATTACAGGTACGTAGAGCGAAGTATCTTTGTAAAGTAAAATCAAAATCTATATTCTAAAATCATAGGGACAACCAGAATTACACAAAATTTGAATGCTCCAAAATTTAGTATCATAAGTTCAATGTGTAGTAATGTACACTTTCTAAACAACAATCACCATGTTATTATTCACTTTAAGGGCCGTGACTAGAAAGACGCAAGACACCTGTCACAACACGAATCAAATTCCTGGTAAAAGATCGACCAATGACTCATTCAGTGTATTGGATTATCGAGAGGCAACTGTAGTTGTGAAACCTAATCCTCACACATTATAGACTTCAAGACATGCTGGGGGCAAGAACTTTTACAACCAACACGTCACTTGCCAACGGGTGTGAAGACCTCGTAGTCGAGCACGCTAAAGTTGTAGTCACTCATCAGCACTGAGCTGGACGCATTGTCTCCGTCGTAGGAGTGAGGCAGGTTGGAGTAGCTGTCCATGTTGGTGTTACAGTTGCTAGCTATCAACAGATCGGCCCCAGCTCCGAATATCGGTCCACAGCTAAAACATTCAGATGCTCGTTATGGAGAATGTAATTCTACAGTTTTACCATTTTATCAGTGAGTCAGCCTAAATAAAAAAAAAAAACTATAGGCATTTATATATTGCAAAATTTGAAAAACAATGATAATTTGTCTTTGAAAGTATAGTAATTTAATTGACAGCTACAAACCATTTTGAGTCAGTAAGAAATCCACACAAGACTTCACAAACCACCCACACTCGTTCTTCCATTCCAAAATCAGGTTAAGAATGTCATACTTATGAGGAGGACAAAGAATGATTTAACAGAAAAGTGCTTTGGTGTTTTCTTCAGTTAACTATATAACTGAGCTAAGCTAAAGCTGATTTCTTTGTATGTTTATAGACTTACTCAGGATGGTAGCAGATGGCGAAAGGTTTCTTGACAATGTTGTACTTTGTTGGAGGAAGATCCTGATTATTGGCAAGTGTGAAGAGGAATGCACGATCAGACGGGATGTAGTGACTCTTGGTGTTTGTTTTGCCCCAAGGGACGTCACTAAAGCCTCCACACACCTCGCCGCGGGCTCCCTGCAATGGCAGACACAGAGTTAGAGTATGAGAAGTGAGTGGCAAGGTCTGTGCAAATGAACTCCTCAATTTTTGTTAATAACTTCTTGATCAGCACCGTACGTGTTATTAAATTACCAGAAAAATTTGTCAAATAACACTTTATAAGTGTTATTTGACATATTTTTGTGCTTTCAGGTCCTTTTTTGCGACTAACCAAAAAACAAACAGGAGTGCTAAACAGTTAAAATAAATGACTTGTTTTACGTTTTGACAAAAGCCTGTTGTGTTGTGTTCTATGGAATATAGTAGGAAGGCTTACTAAGGTCAGCATGCTTTCGCATTATTGCTTTGCACCGATTCAGTATTAGTGTTTCATTTAAGTAATTAAACAAATTAACACTATAACTGACACAAGTTTTTAGGTGTTAATGTTAATTTCCTTTGGCAATTATTGATATAGTCCACCACTTGCTCATAGATATTTGACAAATCTTAAATCCTCTTTAGTATAAATAACCTCTTAACACGCTCGCTGTGGGCCCGGTGAGTGCTCTAGTTCCTTTCTGCCACCCTGAATGCGCACCTGTGAGTGGCGACATGGCCTACACATTCCATTAAATTTCTGCGCAGCAGCAAACCGTGTAGAACGGGTATTTTTATGGAAAAGGAAGCTAGGAATGGGTGCTTTATTGTTGTGTAGGTTGGTATAAAATTTCCCCGTAAAATCCCTTTCTGGCAATCTTGATTTCGGCAAGTAGGTTTTGGGACAACAAGTTGATTTCAAATCAACAACTATTGTCCTGTCTTTCTCCCTCCAATTGGAAATACAATAGGAACGGCTAGTTCCAGACAGTGCTGCTATCTGTGACTGTTTCAGCAAACTACGTAGACTCTCGTCATAATACAGAACATCACCAAATGTCATTTACTATTCGTCAGAAAGTAAAAAACTTTGAAGATGTCACTTTTTGTCCTCTTTTGTAATTTTTTGTTGCACAGCATTCCATAGGTCATAGAAAGTTTTTTTATCATAAGAGTGAAATAGGTATATTTTAAGTTACCGTTACAATGACATAGGTCGGAGCCACTCCGTCACACAGCCTGTGGAATGCCTCAGCCGAGTAACCGTGACTCGACGCTCGATACACCAATCTCCACACCTGCTTACTGCTGCCATACCAAGAGTTGAGCAGCCGCTGATACGATGTTTTCTCCTACAAAAATATGATTGAATGAAAATGACAAGTAAAACAGATCTGCAATAGCTACATGTATGGGATAGTTTAACAGGCTGTCTCTGATCAAACAAAGTAAGCCAAAGTTTGAGTGCACAACCATGATGAGGATTATCCAGTATGCCCAGGACCGCTTTAGGCATTGGACCCAGGGGCACAAGAGGTTTTAGATTTGTTGGGAGCGCAATTAATTCTCAGGCCCTTAGCGTGACAAATGCAAACAACAGCCCTGAGTTTGCTGGAGACACGTGGCAGGCTATTGCAGGTATTTTTCTTCCACCTTTGTTTAGCTAAAATTTTAAAGATTAAAAATATAATTAACTTGAATACTAATGCATAGTAATTTCGGAAACTAAAAGATAAGTAAATTTGTTAAAGTAAAACTTCTTTGCCATATTTCTTAAATTCTTATTGAACTTTGTTTTAAAACATGTTTCCCCAGATTGGCATAAACTTTTTGCAGTCAACTACAAAAATATTAATGAGTTTTTAGCCTACCTGAATAAGTATTTGAGAACCAGGGAACAATTTGAGTGAAACACGAGGCTGCAGTCGTTTGTCCTCTGATCTCTCACGGAACTTGTTTGGCAACGCTGCGTAACGGTAACGCTCCAAGGAGAGTTCCATGGGTACCGCACCTGTGGGTTCTACCTCCTCTGCGAACACCTGGCTGTCTGTGGACATTTAGGATTCGGCTATCATGTCTAATGAACCTCATTCAAGAGAATAAAATTTCCAACTTACTATTACAGATAATGCGAGTGTGAGTGGTGTAGCATAGCAAGATTTCTTGCCAGTACAAATATTATTTTACACCCTTCAGTGGGGGCTTTACACTGGAAAGTTTTTGTAATTTATATAAAGCTTGAAAAACAACTGCAATGACAGTTATAACTGTTACCACCCTTCACCAAACAAATATTTTCTTAGCCTAATGGCACTCTTGTTGCCCACCCTTGCCTGTGAGTGACTGGGGCAGTCCGCACCCTTCTTCCCTCTATAGAGGCTACCAATTAGTGCATCTAGTCAATGTAGTACAAACAAGAAGCGAAATGCCCATATCAAAAATTCAGCCTAGAATTTTATAATGTTGGCAAGTTTCCGCAGCAGCCGCTAGGTAACAAAAACACTGCAGCCAATGGGACCCTGCAACATTGTGAGTGAGACTTGCCTAGTGTCAGCCACACAAAGCTCATTTTTGCGGCAAAATCCAGTCCAACTATTCCCAGTTTCGCTTCTCATAAGGTTTGAAATCGTTGATCTTGTTTAGCTGTTTGTGTCTTAGACTTTATGTAGCAAACAATAGCTTGGTTTAACCTTAACCCCCAGGAGTATTTATTGTAAAGTTTAGAATCTTTTATAGAGATTGTGCTTGAAACACAGGCTTGCCTGATATCAGTGACCTACCTATCAGCAAGAGACGCACATGGTTGATGACTCCGGCCAAATGCTGACACACTCTAGCTCGCTCCTCCTCGGTCCAGTGAGCTGTAGGCTGTGTAACGCCAGCTGCATACTTGGCCCAGTTAAGTACACACCGCCAAACATCTTCCTCCTCCAGAGCCAACTGTTGAATAAATTACAACTTAAATGTTAGTTAAACAGTGTTGATGGTTATTTAAAAACTTTTGGAAATAATATATTAGAACACTTACTGTAGTCTGAAAGGTTCCTGGACCACTCTATAATTTGTAAAAGAAACTTAGACATAAGCTGGGTAAATTTGATATGATATTTTATTTGATTTTTTTTAAGTTGTAACTTTTTTAAAGGAGGGAATGTTTTTAATTTTTTTTTGCGGTACATCCAGTATATATTGACAGAAAATTAATACTAAACTGCTCCCCTTATTCCTTGACTCTCCCTTTAAATACCTATATTTATGAATGTTATATAATGTCTTATACTTACACAATCTGACGAGATCAATTTTACAAGAGCATCTTTTGGCAAATTGAGGAAAGCGTTTGTTTTCACACATTCCACTGCATTTTCTCCAATGTAAGTTACACATCGATCTACAAATGATTTAGCACCTTTGCCTGTTGAAATATGAAATTTGGATTACTTGCCTCATATTACAGCGTGAACAGCTTAGTGTCACCATTAATTGGTAGGTCTATCTTAGAAACTATTAGATTCAGAGTAAACAAATGAAGAACTTCGCCTAATTTTCCTATATTAAAAAATATAATATAGATATTAAAAAATATTAGTTCCACATTTTTCAAAAACAGTGATGTAGGGTGATTAATCCTACTAATATTATAAATGAGAAAGTTTGGATATATGGATGTTTGTGACAAGTAAACTCGAAAAATACTGGTCGGATTGGGGTGATGATACCTCACATTCCTGATACAGGCATATTTTATCTCAAAACTCCTTTCAGGCTCCGCCCCAGTGGCTCTGTAGTTTCCCATGTTAACCATATGGGTATTCACATTTAAAATAGGCCTAATTAAATTTATTTAAATTAAAATAATTAAAAACAATTAGTCTTATCTTACTAATATTATAAATGTGAAATTCTGTGTGTTTGTTTGTTTGAAGTTCAATCACGCATTAACTACTGGACAGATTGGGCTGAAATTTGGCATAATGATAGCTTACATTCCCGATTAACATATTGGCATATTCTTATCTCAAAAATCCTTTCGGGCTCTGCCCCAGTGGCTCTGTAGTTCCTTATGTTAACCTTATGAGTATTCATATTTAAAGGGAATAAAAGAATTTAGTCAGCTGTTTAAATTAAAAAGGTTTGATATGCAAAAGCATTAAAAAGTTATAAAATTTACCAACAGAGTGCAGCACTATTGTTTTTTTGAATTTACGAAACAGCAAATATAATTTGAACTAAGCAGAAACAAAAAACTGTGATACGCAAGGATAACTGTCAAAGAATGATTGATTACAGTTATGTTTGTGTTTTAATTTCATGAATAGTTTGTGATATTTGGGAATGTTGCTGAAAGTCAACAGTCCCGGAAGATCAAATAATTTATACCTGTGCCGCTAGGTCAAAAACTACAATGTTTGCAGTATCTGTAGATCAAAAGTCCCAGTAAGTCAAATAGTACAGTCCGAGCTAAAAACGTGGTCTATGTTAAAGCAATTGACTTATTGGGAATTTGACCTAATGCAACAGCAGTTTTAATATAACGAAATACGGTAAAATACAAGTTCAGTTTCGCTGAGTCAACAGTGCCGGAAGATCAAAAGCAATAAAAGTGAACGTCGATTCAGTGTAAAGTAGACCTCCTGCAACGCTTACTACACCAACAAAACTTGCTTTTAGTTACTTCGTGTTTTGTCATAATTAGAATAGAGCTAAAATTATCATATTTGGTACATAGCTTATCTATTAATGCTTCTTGCCAACTGTTTGGTCAACACTGTAAATAGGTATAGTTTATGTAATGAAAAGCCTTTCGTCAAAATTTGTGGCATAAAATACACGCAAGGACGATCTAAAAATTTCTGGTTATTATATACGTTTGTAAAAGGAGATCCATTTAATTTTGGAACTATTTTATAAGTTATAATGTAGTCTACACATAAACTGTGTAAATGTATTACGCCTCGGAAGGGTTGAAACCTGTCCAAACTATCATATATATTATTAAAACGTAAATATGGTTTTTTCACATTCTGAATCAACCAGTCGACGGATTTTCATTATTTTTGTGTTGAAAGAAAGATAATTTTGAGAACTAGGGAATGTCAAAGCCATAATTATAATTAAGGGTCCCAGTTTTTTATAAATTAAGTTTCAATTTTTAAAAAGTCTAGCAGCCGACGCTTACCTTCTAAGCTAGCTTTTAGTACAATATAATTTGCTTAACATAACAGCTGTAAACATTCAGCATTTGGAAACAAATTTAAAGACATATTTAGAGTTGACATATTTATACTATGTGTAATGCTGACCATTGATCCATTCAATTCTTAGGTATGAGGATGGCAGATTAATTAAATATGCATAGTAAAATTGTAGGATGTTCAAATTATTTTTAAAGGAATCTTTATAATCATTGATTTGTTTTAGTCCCATATAATTTGTTTTAACTAACAGCTGGTTGAATGTAATATTGTTCTATATAACTATTACGTTTTTTCGCGAATATCCCATATAGGGAATAAGCTATTACCGTAGTACTTATGGTAACACCTGGACCCGCGGGACCGATTTAATTTTTCGTTTTGAGGTCCCTAGAGGCCAAAAACACCATCCGTTCAAATTCATATATACAGGGTGATCAACTCACGGAGTCCACCATTGGGAAATCGGAAACGGTAAGAATTAGAGAAAACTTTAAATGGGGCACATACCTTTAATTTTTGTGGCAGTTAAAATATGATTTTAGTTTTTTATCATGTTTTCGGATAGAATATGCAATTTAAAAACTTTGTTAGCTTTGACATTTTTTTGATAAACCCACTCGTTTAGGATTACAGCCTATGGAAAAATGACTTCCGGTTAACATTTTACATCATGTAGCTCCTAAACGAGTAAGTTTAGAGCAAAATTGCAAGAAGTAAATCAGTCTTAGAATTGCATCTACATTCCTTTAAGACTATAAAATAAAAAGTTTTCCACTTTTCAAGTTTGCCGCCATTTTAGCGAATTTCCCATATAGGGAATAAGCTATTACCGTAGGTCTCATGGTAAGACCTAGACTCAGGACCGATTTACTTTTTCGTTTTGAGGTCCCCAGAAGCCAAAAACACCATCCGTTCAAATTCATATATATATATATTTATATATATGTGTCCGTTAGCGCGATAACTCGAGCAAATATGATCCGATTTTGATGAAATTTGGTACAAACGTGTAAACTTACGTTTATTCGAACGAGTTCGCGAACCAGCATAATCGGACCATGGGAACAGGGGTTTATGGGGGGTTTTATGGGGTAAAAATGGGTTTTTCCCATTTTTTACCCTAAAAATAAAAATTTTTGCAATTTCTTTCTCAACCATTTTGTAGAGCTTAAAAAAATAAATAATTTAGTATATTGAAGCGCTGTTTTATGCCTAACAGTCACGGAGAAAATAAAAAAAAGTGTAATTTAAAATTCCCATGTTGTTCTTATGGAGAAAATGAAAACTGTTGTAGTTTACTTGTTTATGGGTATATGTTGATAAAATTTGGCAAATTTATTTATTTCATTTTATACTATTGACATATGGTCAAAAAACACGTTTTACCTTCCCCGTAGCAGCAAACCTAAGCTCTGGTTAAATCTAATGATATTTAAATTGTGAATAAATATGTCTCATTTATGGAAATATTTTAGTAAAAATGTAATCAGACATGTTGAAATTCGCTTAGTCTGCAGGTTTGCTGCGGCGGGGGTATTTTTAAATAATATAATTCATATTTTTAATGAATTTTATGGTCTTTTTGGAATGTGGATGCAATTGTAAGACTTTTTTACTCTTCCCATTTTTGCTATAAACTTACTTGTTTAGGAGCTACATGATGTAAAATGTACACCGGAAGTCATTTTTCCATAGGCTATAACTCCTAAACGAGTCGGTTTATCGAAAAAATGTCAATTATAAAAAAGTTTTTAAATTGCATATTCTATCCGAAAACATGATAAAGTATAGGGTGTTCCATAAGAAATTTCAAATTTGGCCGCCATTTTGGAAAATGGCGGCTGAATTTCAAAAAACTAAAATCATATTTTTAACTGCCACAAGAAATAAAGGAATGTCCCCCATTTAAAGTTTTCTCTAATTCTTACCGTATCCGATATCCCAATTACAATTGAAATTGTAATTGGACACTAGTAAGTACCAGTGCACTTGTTGCTACCTCCCCCCTTCGGTTTCATGTATTCCTCTCAATCACTTCAAACCTAGGAGGATTAAACATTAATGTTAATTAATGTTAAATCCTCCTAGGTTCAAACCTTAAACACCCAGATCGAAACTCGCCTGTCGTTATTTTAACATCGCTTAATTTTTTTTACTATATTTTTCAAAAAAGGAAGATTAAATTGATTTTCTTTGGATTTTAAAAAGTGGACGTTTTATTTTATTAAAGATTTATGGTGATACGTAAATATTGTGGTATAGTAAAGTATATTATATTGTAGTTAAGTGTTAAATTTCGAAATTTTAGGGTGAATCGAGATGAATCTTTTTTTATAACATGGGTCTCTCCTACCTTAACGTACATACCAAGTTTCATAAACATCGGTTGGAAAAGTGTAAAGATAAATATTTGTATGTAAAAAATACAAAATGGCGGATATCTGGTTAACAAAACGATTTTGGAAAAAATGTTATCCTTCATTTTCTGTTTATTTTGACCCAAGGAATTACTAGGTAAAGTGTCTCTCCGCTTATTTTTAATACCTTGTTTGTGATGTATTCTTATTAATATAAGTGAAAAATGTAAGCTGGTAAAACAAAAAGATGTTTTATAAATAATATGAATGTACTGGTAATCTGTATATTCATCTTTTTCTTGTCCTTAGAACTGTAAATTAAAAGTCCACTCAGCAGTCGCATCGTACGATGTAGTTCTTTCCATGCGTTGCGAAATGCTAAATTTGCCGTCCTCTTCAACCCAAGTTATCTATTGAACCACTGATTGTAAAAAATTCAAAAAAATATATTTTACCCATCACACTTTTGGCTACAACTTTGCCACAGACAAAACCTCTCTAACCCAAAAACAAACAAAAATCTCGCATGCTAACTTTTTCATGTTAGAAATCACGATTTAAAACTATTTCACCATACATATCAATTTTTATTAATTATATCGGTAAATAGTTTAAAGTTCCAACAAAATAGTCATTGAGTAGGACTAACCAAGAAGCTCTGTGCCAATTTTCAAAATCTTAGCACAACTTTAAGTACACCAAAACACGAAATTATTGAAGTCATGCGTCGAGAGGACTATCGTTGTTTTTAACAGATTATACTTTTGACCTTCCGGCACTGTTGACTCAGCGAAACTGAACTTATATTTTATCTTATTTCGTTTTATTTAAACTGCTGTTGCATTAGGTCAAATTCCCAA